TAGAAATACAAGATAAAGTCATTGAATATACTGACGATCAAAAAAATATATTAAATATCCTTGAAGAAATTAGAACTAAAAATTCTCACAAGCCACTTTCTAAAATAATTAATCCTAAAAATAAATCTGTTAAGAATTCAACTCGGTATTCTGCATCATATCCTACTTTGTGAAATTCGATACATCACAAGATAAATGTCATTAAGCTTCTAAAAATATAGATGAAACTTCCTTCATGTTTAATCTAGAAAAACTACCAGGTGATCGGTATAATTGTGAAAGATTAAATAATTATATAAAATTTTATCTGGAAGATTATATTAAAAGAAGTGAAAATTTACGTAAATATATATAAGTATTCTACCAATAAGTTTCAGAAATATCCAGTAAGTTTTCCAAGTTAAGTGAGCAAAATTTTAGAGTTTGTTGGGTCTTGGGAAATTTTAATAGATGTACAAAAAGTGAAATTTCCAGGGCAAGCCAATAGGATTTCAGAAAATTGCCAATGAATTTTTAGAATTAAATTTGATTTTCTTGGTGAGAGAGTTTGAAGTTTTCTTGATATAAAATTGTCAATTTTGGTCTGTTTGTAGCATATTATATATCAAAATGTTCATCTTGATGAGTAGAACAAATTTGTCTTAAGTAGAACTAAGATTTTCTTAGTAAAATTTAGAGTAAACGGTAAGAGAAGAGATAAAAAAGTTTTTATTATAATTTAATGAGTTTGAGTTTGTTTGTAATATATTATATATCAGAATGTTCATATAGAGAAGCTGAATAAGTTTTTATTAAAGAGTGTAAGTAGTTTACTTAGAATAATTTTAAGAAAATTTTGAGTTTGTAAATTTTGTTTTTAAAGAGTTTTGTAAACAATTTAATGAGTTTGTAAATTGATATTTTAAAACTTCTATAATATATATAAAATAAATTGCAGAGCAAGTTTACTTAGAGCACCAAAGTATGTTTGCTTAATAGTTTAAGAAGTTATAATCATTTTGTCTTAAAATTTTTAAAATTTGTTTTGTATAAGTGATTTGTAGAAAGAGTTCATTATGTTGTTAAACTAGGCTATTTTATTTTAAAATTAAATAATAAAATATATTTAAAACAGACTTAAAAATAATTTAACATTATCAGATGATTTAGTTGTATTTATAATAGCTTTAAAGTATTTTATTTATATATAAAATTTTATAAATCAAAATTTAATATCAAACAAATTGAGATAAAAAAAAAACTTAAAATTTAAGAAAAAAATCCCAATTTTATATAATATTAAACTAATAATAAAATTTAGAATAAAAAATTAATAGAAATTTTTTTAATGTCATATTTAGTTATTTATGTTTCAAATTACCTTTCCTATTAAAATTAATACAAATATAAATATTAATATTAATAATAAATCTAATTGATTATGAATCATAAAACAATACCCTATTTTTGATACTTTTTCTTAAAAATTTGAGAAATTAATTAGAAATATTATATTCAAATGTTATTACAATGAGCCCACATTTAAATACAGCAAATTCTAGCATAAATAATTAAAATAATATATTTATGCTCACCTAAGAAAAAATAATTCATTTGACTCTAATTTTACGAAATATCAGTTTAAATTCTTATTCAGTAAAAGTAGATATGTAATTATTTAATACTTACTCGCTAGAAGTTAGTTAATTCAATTATTTAAAGTATTAATAATTATTTGCAAATTGTAAAATTTATTTAATGAATAAATAAACACGTTTTAACTTACGCGCTAGTAGTTAATTTATTTTAAACATTATTAATATTTGATAAAATAATTAACATTTTAATATATACAAACTTACACACTGGATATAATTTATAGATTATTTTAATTGTTAGCAATAATTTATTGGTAGACTTTAAAACAAATTAATATAATCATATTTATGCTTACAATCTTGTAATAAATCAGATTTATATATTAACTAGAATATTGTATTCCAACAACACGTTCAAAGTCTATTTTCAAATAGGTTTAACACTTACCCTCTAATAGTTAATATTCGTTTGAAACAATATAACTTCAATGTTTATACAGTCTTGATTTATAAAAGACTAAAAGTTTGTCGTTATACTCACTCCCTGGTATAATAATTTAAACAGTTATTGAAAATATTATTTTGCCAAATTAATATTAGATCTTCATTTATAAATGAATACATATACTCACTTACTGACAATGTAATTTAAAATTAAATTATTTTTAAGTTCAAATTTAGTATATATTCGCTATATACTTACGCGCTGATGTTGATGTAATTAGAAAATAAACCAAATTTTAGTAACTTTTTAACCTACAATGAATATAATTTATACTCACCCACTAGATGTAAATTAAAAAACAAAGCATTATTACTAATTGATTGTGATATCAATTTCGTATATATACATTATTGAAGTTTATACTAACTTGCTAATAATTTAAGTATTAAGTTATTATAAATTATTTGTAAATGGATTTATGACATGTTGGTTGTTTTACTTACATACTTTAAATTATAAAAATATTGATTAAATAAAATTAAATTTAATTTTTATTTAACAAATATATACAATCAAATTTTATACTTACGTCCTAATAATTTGATTCAATTATAAATATTGAGTATAATAATATAATTTGACAAATAATTACAGGCAGAAACGTTAACTCACTCCCTAATAGTTGATATAGTTAATACAGTTGCTGAAATAATGTCCACCTTAAATTCAATAGCTTTTTTATAAAATCTTGTACTTACTTACTAATTAAAGTAATAATAGATTTTATTAGTTATAAATACGGGCAAAACAATCCCTTTAGCATAGCCAATCAAATCATTTATATATTCGGCGCTTAAAGTATTACTATCAACATCATATGAAGTTTCAAGTGATTTTATTACAAAAATTTATCATATTATTGCACTTTTCAAATTATTGTGATCAGCAAATTTCACGTATTACACTGGGAATCAGAAATCTAAAATAAATACAAATCTGTGATTGGCTGGAAATAATTTTTAGCCAATCATGTATTTTAGATTTCTGATTCCCTGTGATACGTGGACTTGCTGATCACAGTAATTTGAAAAGCGCAATAAGTTATATGTATTTAGAGGTGGGCAAGATAATAATGTAATTGTGACAGATTAAAATGAAATTATTAGATTAAAATAAAACTTTTCCAAATTTTTTAAGAAAAAATTAAAATTTTTGGGGCCATTTTTGGGATTTTTTAAGTATGAGGGTTAGGGTTTAGGGTTAGGATTATTAATAAAAGAGTATATGTGGGTTTTATAAGCTTTAAATGTAAGCAAGAGAGGTCCTCAGTTTCATTTTAATCTGTGACAATAATTACTTATTTTTTCCGAGTATTTAAAGCTAATTATTGTGGCGGATTAAAATGACTTCAAATTAAAATGAATTTTTGTCTAGTGGAAAATATAAACTCTACCGAAAACTACAAAATTCTGGAGTGCATTTTTCTAGCCTTTTTTTTTTATCATTAGGGCCTGCTTTAGGGTAGAATTTATAGTAAACAAATATAAGTGGGTTTTATAAAGTTAAGTAGAAACTCCGAATTTCATTTTAATTTGATTTCATTATCCGCGACAATTATTACCTACGACGAATGATTATTACTTATTACGTCTTACAAATATTATTTAAAGTAATCAGATTGCAAAAATTCGAGAAAATATTTGGAAATAATTTTACTAAACTTGCCCGTCTCCATATGCATTAGTAATCATTTAAACCTCGTATATAAATGATCCGCCAAGTTCGTCCTGATGGGACCCAAAGTTCAAATACCATCATATGAACTTCATATGATGCGGTTTGTGACGTACCAATTTAGTTGGAGTTCTACCATAAAATCCCGACATCCAAAATCTCGACAGGTCATAATACTGACATCGCGCAATGTGACAATTAAAATTTAAAGTCTGACAATGATTGTTATTGTAATTACTAATTACTAATCTTTAAATACTAATTGTCACGCCTGGATTATGGTTTCAAGATTTTGGGTGTCAGGACATTGTGGTAGAATCTTTATTTGGGCCCTATCATGAATTATAAATTATGATTTATATACATTCAAATTTATACTCACATTCTGACGGTTTAATATAATTTATTCATTTAATAATTATAAAATCCTAGCTTAACAAATGATTATATGTAATAGAACATACCCCCTGGAATTTAATTATTAAAAACATTAATTAATAATTTATTTTAACAATTCTGGCTTAACAAATGATTATATGCGATAGAACATACTGCCTGAATTATTAAAACATTAATTAGTTATGAATAGATTTTGATTAAGGGGCTTTCAAGCAACTCTATAGATTAATTCGATAAAGAATCCGATTTGCCAAAACAAACTAATCAGAATTCTTATTGAATCTATTAAGAGTATACTTGAGGATGATCTAAGTAAGTTGAATGAAATATTCAAACATACAAACTGTATAAAAATTAATTAAAGTTAAATTTAGTATTTTTATTTAACAACTCACAAAATTAAAATATACTCACTATCTGGTAATTTACGTAATTTAAATATTATTTGGCATTAATTATTGTAAGATTCAATTTAACAAGTGAATTTGTAAAAGAATTTTATAATTACTCGCTGATAAATTGTTAAATTATTATTTAGCACTATTTTAAGATAAAATCTGATTTAATGAATGAATTTGCATAATTAAGCTTGTACTTACTCTCTATCATGGATTCAGAGAATTAACAAAACATGTATAGTTAATATTAATTTGTGATTTTAATAGAAAATAATAAGAATATACACTCACTCTCTGGTAATTGAAGTAATTAATTTAAGTTTTAATATTAACTTTTGAAAAAGTAAGTACAGTAACCTCCCTCTATACCGAATCTATTGTATATAAACTAAACACTTAATGATCTCTAAGCAGAACTTAAAGTTGATAAATCTGTTTAAAAAACGTGGATTTCTACATTGAATTTCTCGAGACTAGCTCTTAACAAGTTCGGTATAGAGAGATCATTTTATATGCAATTAACGTTTATACGTACAAACTGTGATAGATATAATTACGCAAAAATTATTTAGTAATAATTCATTATTACAGTGTTTTGTAATAATTTATTATAAAACTGT